GACAGACCTTACCCCAGCCTTCCCCACACACAACACACACAACAAAATTTTACTTTGGCAAGCATATTTCACTAGAAGCAAGATAATCTGGTTATTTTATCCAAGTACAGATCACTAAGTCGCGTGAAAATGTAGTTCTAAAGCATCACAGATAGATTTTGGATAGTGATATGTAGCTTCATTTCCCTGATTTTCAGGGCAAACAAACCCCAGGTAGGGTAAAAAGATAGCTCTAATGCCAGGTTAACCCACATTGTCCCCTGGCCTTCAGTGTTGAGCTGTCACTCCTGGCTCACTCTTCAGTATCCTATTTTATGCTCCACTTTTAGCCCAGGGCACATGGCCAGGGCCATTTTCTGTAGATGTGGAAGCTATGGTATCACTCCTGCCTCTCTGCTACGGCCTCACTGCAAAGACAAGGGTGTGTATACCCGGCTCTAGTGAGGGGTTATCTAGGTCAGATTTCTGAAGTGTTTCTGTTAGGAAGCTGTCTTATATGGGAGGAACCAGCCCACTGTGGGCAGCAGTGCTCTTGCGTCTAGGTCAATGGGTGGTGAGGAGAGAAAATAAGCTGAGCTCTAGACACACATGCATTGACTCCCTGCCTGCTCTTACCTGTGGATTTAAGATTTATTTATTATTCGTGTGTGTGTGCATGTGCCTGCATGCATTTGTGTGCACTGTGTGTATGCAGGTGCCTACATAGGGCATAAGAAGGCATAGGATACCCTGAAGCTGGAGTGGCAGGCAGGTGTGAGCCAGCATATGGGTGCTGAGAACACAATCCAGGTCCTCGGCTGGAGCAGCAAGAACTATTTTTATACATGTACTCTAAAAGCATGCATGGTATGAACAACTCAGTGAGTTTTTCCAATTTGAAGTTCAACATTTTCTTCCTTCATTCTTAACAGCTATGTCTGTCCTTAATTAATTTCTTAGGTACATAGTCCCATTGCCCAGGCTGTATCAGGCTCAGTTTTTATCAGGAATGATACTTCCACAAGAAATTTGGAGGGGAGGGTTGAGACAGGGTTTCTCTGTAGCTTTGGAGCCTGTCCTGGAACTAGCTCTCATAGACCAGGCTGGTCTTGAATTCACGGAGATCCTCCTGCCTCTGCCTCCCGAGTGCTGGGATTAAAGGCGTGTGCCACCACTCAGCCTAACATCCAATATTTAGTATGGCTGTGAGTAATAAGTGAATAGATACTGTGCAGTGCGACCTTAACCTCATTTACTGCATCATGTAAGCCCCGCATGGTCTATGGTTGCTAATATAGGCTTAATTCTGCCTGACTGACAGAACACTCAGCAGCCTGGGAGACAATCTAAAAGCACTCAGCAAACAGAAAAAAAAAAAAAAAAGCAGTTCATGGTGGTTTTGCTTGCTTTTGTATTTCTGAGGTAACACTCAGTTTATAACACATCATGGTTCATCCTTTCCTCTTTCTCCACCAAGGGCAGAAATACGAATTCCCTCTTATGACCAGCTTACTGTGCAGCAATGCACAAAACTTAGTGATGCACTGAAACCCACAGCGTTAGACATACTAGACATTATTACATCCTAAAAATAAAGAACTCACGATGTATACTCTAGAGATTGCAAGTCTGTTTCACCAGACATTAAATCTGTTTTAACAGTCCATTTGCTGTGAGTGCCCTTTCCTGTTCTCCCGCCCTCGGGTGGCATCTGTCAACCATTGGTGGTGAGGTGTGTTTCCTGGGAGAAGGAAAAGGCTGGATCCCGTTTTCTGATCCAACCTGTTGGGCTGGTCTTTTACTCGGAACTCCACTGAAAAAACGTGTGTCATTCTGTCAGCTTGGGGATGTTTTTAGAACTCCTGATTTCCCAGCCTTGTAGTGTTTGCTCCCTGTGACTTCTTGGCCATGTTTTGCTTCTTCAGACTAAAGCACTCACTGTAGAGCTAGCTGATTCATCTAGAAAGTTTATTCTTCTCTTTTAATTTTAGTGATTTTTCTGGGTATAATAGTTTGGGTGGACAGACAGTATTTTAAAACTTGAACACAGCTTTCCAGTCCCTTTCGTTTATCTAAGGTCCTGTTAAGCAATCAGGTGTCCTTCTGATGGGCCTGCCTTTCTAAGTGACTTGTCTGTTTTCTCTTGCAACTATCAATGCCCCTTCTTCATTCTGTGCTTTTGAGGTTTTGTGCATAATACAGCGTAGAGTTTCTCTGCTGGTCCTATCTAGTTGGCGCTCTGTGGTCTCTTATACCCCAGGCTTCTCTGTCTCTGGCTGTGGAATTTTTTCTTCTAGAATTTTAATGAAATATATTCTATACCTTTGGTGTGGTGTTCTTTTTCTATGACCCTCATCTGAAGCTCACAGTGCCTCAGAGCTCTCTCGTTATTGGGACCATTTGGAGTCCTGGCCTCCAGCTGCTCTTCCCTGCTAGAGATCTTTACTTTCCTTCTGATTTGAGTCACTGAAAGCTGTGTCAAAGTTGTTTACCAGCTCTGCTTCACAAGCACGTGTTGCCTTGCCTTGAGGATCAAAAGATAAGGTTTTCACCTGTTGGCCCACCTGACTGTTGGGTATACAAGCCTCCATGCCATGGTGCTACTGAATAAAGGGTTTCTTACTAGTGACTATAGAGGTCCGTCTCTCTGTCTCTGTATGTTTCAACCTCCAGCCCCTTGCCCAAAGCTCGCGAACTGCATGGTAGCACACAGAGCACAGACAGGCGTGTGCGCGGCATCTCCTGTTCTGTTTATGGCTTTTTATAGATTTATCATGACTTTTTCTGAGTAATGTGATTCTTCTACCCCATCTTCTAGCTCGACGCTCTGCCGGGCAGGCTTTCCAATGAGGTTTTTATTTAGGTAGCTGGGCTTTTCACTTCTGGTGTCATTTAAGTTTGACTTTCTTCACTAATTCAATCTCTCCATTGAATTCTATTCCCATATTTTGTGTTGAGATTTAACACTTCATTTCCCTCTTTGCCTTTGTCTTTTTTGAGTTCTTAGAACATAACTTTAATCATTCTTTTGAGTTTCTTGTTTGGGAATTCTTTGAAGTCATTTCATTGGGGCTCATTATTATAGAATCAGTAATTTTTAGAGGATACACTATCTTGGATTTGTGTTGCTTCTGCATTGAGATTTACTCCTTTGGAGCTGGCTGATTGGATGAGAGTGTGGTCCTGGGGCTGAGGATCTGAGAAGTGCTTGTCAGCCAGTGCTAAGAGCTAGGAGAACTGCATGGGCACTGCATTTGAGATCCAAGACCTTGCTGGTAGGCACCAGGAGCTGAACGGATGGGGGAGTGAGGCCAGCCAAGGGTCTGGGCTTGGGGAATCCTAGCTTTCTGTGGCACAATAGGGCAGGCTGGTGAGGGCCTTGCCTAGAGATCCGAATCCAAGTGCCGAATCACTGTGTCTAGACTTTGCTAATCTTTCCAGGCTCGTTTATGCCCCTCACAAATAGGAGTCTGAACTGAACAAACTGTAAAGTTCTTTGCTAATTGAATGGATAATTATTATGAATCTGTGTTTTGTATTTAATCATGCTAATTCCTTTAAATTCTATAGTTCAGTATAGCATGAAATCACAGCTATGGCCCTTTTCTTCTACTTCTCCTCCTTTAAGTTTGGCTAAAACGCTAACATTTATGTTGGCTCGTGACTGCAGCTTTGGTGTTCCTACAACCTCAGATAAGCTTGTGGGCTCCTGAGGTCAGGCAGTCTGCTAGTATTTCCCAGCCTCCTGCAGCGCCTTTACTTCCACCTGCTTCATCTTAGGCTAAGAGTGAATTTACCAGTGCTTTCTTCACCCACCTTCCCCACGGTGCAAAATGAGCAGAACCTTTTCATTTCCAACTCCGGCAGGGAAAATTTCCCGCCACCATGACACACAAGGACGTGCACTTAAAGACAATGTATTTATTTAGTGGGTAAGAATGCCTTTTGACTAGAAAAAGAATTAACAATCATCCACAGAGCTTTAAATAGCAAACATCTGTTTCCCCCAATGTGCTTCCAACACTGAACCCCCTGATTAGTTGCTTTCTGAGAACTGTTTCTGAAAGACATAATGAGGCAGTTTAAGGATGAGCTGTAAACGGTCTTCAAAGTAAAGCCAAGAAAAATGTTCATGCTCTGGGTAAGGCTGGTTTAATCCAGATCTGCTAGCTCCTATCACATAGCTGGGTCATAGCTCTTTCAGAAATTTGCAGTGTAGCCATAGTTTAGCTAAATATTGCAAGTCAAAAATGATAAGCAAGTAGCACAGATATAGGAAGAGAAAGGGCATCAGTCTGGCGGGCAGCGCCATCCACAATGCTGTCAGAGGGCTTTTGCTTGAGCAAGCCAGGCATGGAAGCGTGGGAGGTAATGAAGTGAAGCACCTCTGCGTGGGACGAATTCAGACACACGTCAGAGGTGGGTGTGCAGGGGCTGCAGAGATGGCCTGCAGTTAAAGCACTTGACAGTCAAGCATCAAGACTCAAATTCAGGTCTCCAGAACCCATGTAATGGCCCATGGGCATGACAGCTCACCTGCAGTTCTAGCCTCAGGAAGGATGAGGACCCTTGCACAAAGCGAGTTACTAGCAAGCATATCTATACTGATGAGGTCTGGGTTTGATTGAGTGGCTCTGCCTCAATGAATAAGATGGAAGAGCAATGTGGATGACTCCAGACATCAGCCCAAGGCACCCTCTGTGCATGTGTGCATGCCCACGGACATGTTCATATGTACACACACACACTCCAGCTGATCTTATTCCTCCTGAGTCTCAAGCTCTTCTGCACACCCTCACCAAGAAGCGACCTAGATGGCAAGACACACCAACACAGATACAGCAGAGGCCTTGAATTCTGCAAGAGCAAACCATTTTTCTAAGCAGCCATCTTCCCATATGGGGCCAAAGGCATCCTGACTTGCTCTATGTTCCTCACAAAGCTCACTGTTGCTGCGGGTGTTCTACTCTCTCTTGCTCATCAGGGCTAATCCTGTCCACAGCCACATTCACCCACGTCACCAGGATGTGTCCTGAATTTTCGTGTCTCTCATCTCTGCTATCTCCTCCTCCACCACTTTATCCAGGTCGCCTTGGCCTTCACTCAGGTGGCTCTGAAAGCCTCCATTCATCCCCACGCTCCCGACTGTGGTCTCTTGAAAGCGTCCTCTACTTAGCAGTCCGAATGGGTTTGCAAAACAGGCAGTAGATGAACTCATGCTTTCTCTAACACCTCAGTGGTTTTTCCAGTGCACCTAGACATGGGCTTAGCACTCAGCACATCCTGCCACTGCCACACTCCCCAACCCGTCTGCAGTTCTCAGCTCCATAAAAGTCTTCTCTGACATCAGCTATAGCCCCACATTCCTCACACCCATGCAAGGCACCGCCACACTGCCTCATTTACTTCCTTCCTGTGCTTACATTAATGTAGACATTGTCTGCTCTGTGTTTTCTCTCTTCCACATCAATCAGCTTTCATACATGAGCTGCTTCTGTGTTACTGGGCCCACAACACCTGACAGAACAGATCCAGGGAGGAAAGACCTGCTTTGGCTTCAGAGGGCCTCCATGTCTCATGGAGGGAGGGATACTGTGTAGAGCAGCTCAGGTCATGGCAGTAGCGGGGACTTGTGGTAAGGTCTCTCACATCACAGTGGACAAGAAAGTGGAGGAACTAAGTAGTAACTAGATACTGGGATGAAGCCTTTCCCTGCCCACTCCTAGTAACTAGTGTCTCCAATCATGCCCCACCTTCTAAAGGTCCTACAGCCACTAGCTGGTGACAATATTTAAACCGTAATCACCCTACTATCGGCCATCATGCTGCTCTAACACGGAAGGACCCATACACAGAACAGATGCTTAATAAATATTTACTGAATGATAATCTTTGAAAACTAATCTTTAGAACCAAAGCTCCACAAGACCCCATGGAAAAGGGGTCCCTTTTGTCACTGTGCCCCAACTTCTCTCACTGAACTGCAAACTCTTTTAGGTTGTCTGCCCTTCTAGCATGTGTCAATCCACACTTGTGTGACCACCACCAAATGTCATTCTTGGCCTAAATTTCACTCAAAGAGGATGAGGAGGAAGACATCAAACATGGAGATAAAGACAAAGATCAGCCCCAAGGGGCTGAAAATGACCACAGCCACTCTCGCATTTCAGACTAAACTGTCACCATGCAGACCAGAGGGCTTAACAGCCCTTACTGGATGCTGCCTGATCACTTCCCAAATCCCACGCCATTGTTAGAAGCCTTTGGTGTGATCTGAGCTTTCAGACGCCTAAGTAGGGAATGAGCACTGGGGAATCTCTGAGTATCTGAGTAACCACAATCCACAGTCAAGACTACGTTCTATGAGAACCTTTTAATAAAGTGTTGATGGCGCGGCATGCTGTATTGTATTAGCCAAGTGTGCTGTAACAAGGAGGTCAGATTGCAGGTCCTGGTGCAAAAACTTCGGCTTATTTAGTTTATCTCGTTCTTTTCATGTCAAGATAAAAGTCATTAAAGTACTAAGACCATCTGTTTGATTTGAGCCCGGAAACATGGAGGTCCAGCTGCTGCACTGACCCACGGTAATGAGTGCCATCCCAGGGTGAGGGTGGAGCTGATTTCAGCTCCACTTCGCTTCAGGAAAGAAAATCTCCTGGAAGAGGATTCCAATAAATAAAATCTGCACTTTCTGGGGACACGGGACCATGTAAAGCGTACAAACAGTCAGTGACATATGCAATAAAATTGATTATTGTGATTCAGAACCACAATGAGATGTCCTTGCACATGCGTCAGATGGCTGTTATAAAAGGACAAAGGGTGGCAAGTGTTGAGGATGGTGTGCAGGACAAGGAGCCAGTGTCCTCTGTTGATAAAAATGTAGATGGATACAGACATTATGGAAGACTGAGTGGAAGTGGCTCTGGAATTAAAAACAGAATGAGCGTGTTATTCACTAGTCCCAGTTCTGAGTCTCCGCCCACGTTTGAAATCAATCTGTGAAAAAATTTCTGCCCTGCCATGTTGACTGTGGCAATATTTACAAACGCAAAGTTATGCAATCTACGTGGTGGTTAACAGATGAATGAACAGACAAATGGAATGTGATGTGCACACACTGGAATATTAACCAGCCTTGCCAAGAAGAAAATTCAACTCTTTGCTATAGCATGAGCAGATCAGAGGACATCATCCTAAGTAATATGAGCCCAACACAAAAAGACAAATACCACATCTTCGCATCTATACATGGAGTCTAAGCAATCAAACTAACAGAAGCAGAAAGCAGAAGAGTGGGAATTGAGGCTAGGGGTTTGGGTGAAGATGGGGACAATGACCCAAGAGTGTACATTTCAAGCAGGAAGAATGAGTGAGTTTGTTTAGATCTATTGCAGACTGATGCCAATAACAAAATTGCTAAGAGTACATTTCAATTCTCATTACTACAAAAATGTTGAACACTTACACCAATGAACATGCTAGCTATCTTAATTTAGTTATTCTTCACTGTATTCATAATTCATAATGTCTCTTTATATCCTATAAATGAATGCAATTATAAATGTCAACTCATATTAATTTTAAAAAGAATCTTGGCATTTTTAAGAGCAGCCACAGAATAACCCCATTCTTTATGAACAGAATGCCCCCCAAGGAGTACTCTAACCAATAGTGTATCTAGAGAAGTGAAAAACACCGCCCAAAACAACTGCAGACTGAACAGACCTGTGTCCTCCAAGGGAGGTTCCTACCTAACACAGGTTTTACAAGACAAAACAACACATATTTTCAGGAGGGCAAAAACCACTAACAACCAGTCTAGACTGCGTCCAAGTCTATGGACTCCAAACAGCATGGCTGCAGGCCCAAATGTGAGAACAGGATGCTAGACTGGGGTCAGGAGGGCTAGGTCCTACACAGAGCTGTTAAACAACAAAGACTATGACTCTGGCCATGGTTTCCCCACAACTCGGGACAGTGGAAAGCAGCCTTGTTTGTTAGACAGCAACAAACACCTATGGTCCCAGCACTCGTGAAGTTAAGCACGATGATTACTGCACGCTGAGACTAGCTTGTCTGTAAGGATGATCCTACAAATTCTACGCCACAATATTAATAGATAGGAAAGAACAAAATGACGGACAGCATTTCCTTCTGAGTTAAACAGGTCTCCATACGTGATTGAACACCTGGGGACAACAGTCACCACAGACACTAAGCCAACAGGTGTAGCAAGCTGAACTTAAATAACCTTAGAAACCCTATCTGGTACGTCGCTAAAGCGTTCAACTTCCTATTGGGAGAGAAGGAGATGCTCAAGGTCCCTCTGCTCTGCCACCCAAACGCTGTCCAGGCTACATTGTCCCATGGACACAGGATCCAGATGAATTTCCTGCTGAGCACAGGCTCAGAACCTGACGTTCTAGACATTCTGTAGTTCTCCTGCTCTGACCTGCACTTCTCAAGCGGCCTTGGGGTCATTGGTTTCTAGAGGTCTGCTCAGCCACGCGATCTGCCAGTGTGAACCATGGTGGCGGCCCTTCATTTTACACACCAGTCCCTTGTCAGCTTGTGAGTGGCAGTTGCCATCCCTAAGCGGTAACATTACAGGGCGCTGACACATTAGCCTCGGACCCTGTGTATGGGTACGTATGTGGCTTGGCTCAGCAGTAGGTTTATTAAAGAGTTAGAGAAGAGGGAGGAGAGAAGTGGGGGAGAGAGGGGAGAGGGACGGAGAGAGAGAGGAGTATATATGTGGATATGGTCTGTCGAGATTGGAAGGAGATTTAGACATCACACCGTGGCAGTGGGGAGGCACTGGTAAAATCTGAGTGAGGAAAAGTGATGTGGTCAAGACTTTCACTCACTCGTCCAGAGCAGATGGAAGAGAAGCAACCAGAGTCCAGGGCAGCCAGCCGAGGAAGCAGTGGTGATGAGAGGCACATTATCACACTTACACAGATCCCAGGGGCACCGGCGGATGACCTCACGGGTGGTCTAGGAATATAGCTTAGATGTGATAACTTAAGTTGATATTCAGTGGGTTTTAATATTCTTTCGTAGGTCTTCCCATCCTTAGAAAGTTTATTTTGTTAAAAGAAATACAGACTGTCCCACAGAGCTTCAAATATACATTTAGATTCCTTTCTACCTATCTGGTCGACACGTAAACATGGCCAGGCTTTCCAGTGTCCAAGTGCATGAGTATCTCTGCCATTCCTACTGTCCCCAGCTTCCCTGCTTCTGGGAGTAGACCAGCAGGTCTACTCCTCAGACACGGCTGTGCCAGCCCCTCCTCCACTCACAGCAAGTCACAGCCAGGCAAGTTTTCACCTGTGCGTTGATCAGAGCTCTCTTCTCCCAGAGGACCGCTGCCTTAGCCAAGTTCTAACAATTTCTTAGCTGGGTCATGGAAGTGGCTTTCTAAGTGGCTCATTGTCTTTCCTTGCCCTCCATCATTTCGAGTCCAGGATGACAGCTCATTCCATTGTTCAACAAATGGATGTTGTATGTCAGGGATGTTTCCAGGGAACAAAAACAGTCAAGGACCTCATTCCTCACAGAGTGAAGGTCTAGACAACACAGTAACGATGTAATCAAGAAATAAAGTTTTCAGTGGTGGCAAGTACTATAAAGTGGGTACAGTTAGCATGTCGGAGAGGGGAGAGGAAGGGGGTTGCTATAAAGGGCTCTAGCGCAAATTGCTATCGTGTTCAAAGCCAGATGATGAAGAAAGACCCACGCTGTCTGGGAGCAAGGCATCTCAGCAGAGAAATAACAAGGTGAAACCACCAAGGGGAGCAGAAACACGGGTGCAGAATGCATCTAACAGAAATTTTCCTTGTCACATGATCCCTGCCTCCTAGGGGTCCTCACTGCAGCCCACACCTCCAGGTGAAAATCACGCTTCCACACTGCAGTCCAGATCCACCAGAGCATCCCGAACACAAACACCAACACACAAGTCTCAGGTCCTATCTAGGAGGTTTGTGATGGTTCATTTTAGCTGTCAACTTGTTTGGCTTTAGATCACTATGGGAACAAATCTCTGGGTACGTTTGTAAGGGATTATATACCTTAACTGTGATGAGAACACTCACCCACACATGGGCACTGCTATCATGGCTA